GAGGAACAGAAGGAACTCACTTACGAGTTAGGATGACTATCTTTTTTTCCAGCCAAGTTCAACTGCTCTGCAGTAGGTATATGGTGAATTACCCAGGCCTGTGGTTTAGGCAGGTTGAAGGAGTTGAAGAGGAAAAGAGTTGAGGGTATTTGCAAAAGATTTATTTAAGCTAGGCAATGAGATGAGTTTTAAAAAATGGGTATAACATTTAGATGTGTCCTTTAGTAAACACAGTTGCTTCTTATCATTTGTGGTAGTAGTTATGTTCAATAAAGTCACCGAGAACACTGAATTACTCCCAGGGAAAATATAGGATTAAGTTCCTGCAAACTTCTGGTCACATTTTTGTCAAATGATCACTACATAACCTTGTTTTATGTGTGTTTCTCTTTAAAGACATCTTAACTTATATTGTTGATTAACATGGAACTTAAGTCATTCATGGCCAAAAGCACTAATGACAAGCCTGAATGAAACTTACCTAGCACATGTGTGTTCTCCATAAGACATATCACAGCCTTCTTTTTCTTAGGAATACTAGACAGCACTTCAGCAATACTCGTGGGGGCATCTACAAAAGCAAAATCACCAAAGAAAGCACAAAAAATGCGAAGAAACCACATGGCACTAATACACTGAGAAGAGGCCAGTTAACAGTATGAGAGCTAAAATAAGGGAGGGTTGCCTTGTTCAACCTCAGCTGGAAATGTGGTTGTGTCAGGCAAGCTGTCCACGAATGGTGCCGTGCATTGATTTTAGGGCTACAAATAAATTTTAGTGAGTAGGTGAATCTGAAATGTGGAATCCTCGAACAATGAGGATCAAACTGTACGCTGCCTAGAACTGTTTCTCCCATAGCTTAGCCCAGTTTCCTTCTTTTGATCAAATGGCATGTATCAATTTCAGCAGATATCCAGTTATTAAACAAGAAATTAGTAGTAACTTTGCTGCCAGTTTACAAAAAGCTAAGATTTATATATTACTTTTTGAAATTTTCTCATCTGAAGTCTCCCAACATATTTGCTACAAGTGTTAGAAACTGTACATAAGAATACTGATTTTTTTTTTTTTTTGGGTCATTTCAGCCATTGGCAGCTTTTTTTGTTGTTACTGACAGCTTCAGTAGACTTTATTGGTCTTCACGAACAGTAATAATCTTTACACTTGGCGGGTGGATGCGACAAATAAGGTCACGTAATTCTTTTTTTTTTCCAATCAATTGTGTTTCAGGCCTTCTCTCCTCCATCATTCCACCTTTTCATTGAGCCTACCAATCACCTAACTTGCTGGATAGCAAATAAATCAGTTACTTTTTGATATTGTTTTTTGGAGGGATCTTGTTCCCTCTGATTTCTTACCCTTAAATATCATGTATTTGCTATTACACGATCCTTTTCATTAAACTAATGTTGCCTTACAAAGAGCTCAGAGCAGGAAGAAAAAAAAAAATCACCTGAATACTACCACCCTCAAGTTGAAGCTTGTTTGGAATCTTTGACGTTTCCCCTCCAAAGTGCCTTTAGTTGTACACAAAGTCAAATTTGTGGCAATTTCATTTCAGCACACCCCAGACCTTTAATCACACTCAGGACCTCCAGGTGAAATTTTCTTTCGTCAAAGGACTTCAGCGAGGAAAAGGAACTGTAAGAGGGGAAAAAAATGGGAGATAAAGAAAGGAGAGGGTGGGGAAAGGCACAGCTGGGGATGGAAAAATGTTTAAAAAAAAAAGAAAAAAGGGTGAGGCGGCTCAACACTTTCCCCAAGCACCCATCCCCCTAAGTCTGCAGTCTCAGTTCCCTGCCCCGAGCGGAGCTCCCTCCTCAACCCAGGAATCGCCCCTGGCGCGGCCCCGGCCCCGGCCCCGGCCTCCCGCACTCGGCACAGCGTTCGCGGTCTCGGGGACGCAGCTGCAGGGTGAGACTTACGTCCGAAACACCGCCCCGCGCGCTCGCAGCAGCCCCTGCCCCACTCGGGCCGGTCGCGCGCGCGTGTCCGGTTCCGGCCTCCCGAAGCGGGCGGAAGGGCGCAGGCCGCACTCCCCGCTCCCCGAACACCGCCCCCCCACCCCCGGCCCGGCCCCGTCATCTCTCCGGGAAGCGCCCGCCAGCCGCCCGACCCGGGGGTTTCCGACCGCTCGGCCCGAGGCCGAGGGGCGGGGGCCGGGCAGAGCGCCGCCGGAGGACACCCCTTCCGCCGCGCCGCCGGGCGCACGCGCAGCCGCCGCAGCCTGCCGTATTTAGTCCGCGATGGCTTCCCTCGCGCCCCACCGTCCTCCTTCCGAAGGCGGCTCCCTCCTTGCGCAGCCCGGAGCCCGTGGGACCCGCCGCCAGCAGGCCGAGCGGCACCATCCCTAAACTGGAACGGCGGTGGCCGGACTTGCGCGAGAGGAAAAACAGCGACAACCGGAAAGGGCTGACGGGTCGCGAGGAAGCGAGCCAGGCCTCCGAGGAAGAGGAAGGCCGGAGCGAGCCGAGGTTTGCCGAAGGCGGCGATTCAGAGCCGCGCGGGGCGGGGAGGAAGGCCGAGGGTGGGAGAGGAGGGGCGCGGCGGAAACTGCCGAGGCCTCCCGAAGGCGGCAGCGTCCGAGTTGCCCGGATGTAGTTGGTGGAGCGGCAGCGGCGGCACCAGCGGCGGTGGCGGCGGCGGGAGGAGGCGGAGAAGAAGGAGCAGGCAGCGGCGGCGGCGGCGGGGGGAGGAGGGGAAGAGGCGGCTGAGCGGGAGGAGAAGAAGGCGGAGGAGGCAGTCGCTCGCCGCGGGGCTGAGCCAGACGCGTCTTCTTGCCCCCCTCCCCCCGTTCCCGCTGCCGCCGTGTAGTTGGCGCCGCTGCCCGGGCCGAGAGTGAGCGTGGTGTCGGCGGAGGGAGATGGCCCGGGAGCGCCGGCGCCAGTAACGGGAGGTGCTGAGAGTCGCCGAGGGCGCTCCGGGCCCTGGTGCCGGGGCTGCCGCCCGCCCGCCCGCCGCCTGCGCGCCCGCCCGCCCGCCTCTCGCGGCCGCTCTCCGCCCTCCCCGACACACTCACAGGCCGGGCATTGATGGTAATGTATGCGAGGAAACAGCAGAGACTCAGTGATGGGTAAATCGTCTTTTCGTTTCGGGCCGGGCGGCGGCGGGGGGCCGGGCGGCGGCGGGGGCTCCCTCTACAGCGACGTCAGCACAGGCCTGACGTGGCGGTCTGGCACGGCCAGCTCCGTGTCTTATCCAAAGCAGATGCCATTGTCCCAGGTCTGAGCGGAGGGGAGGGGGCGCCCAGAAGAGGTGGGGAGGGGGCGAGGAGACAAGTGCAGCGAAGGGACCCTTGACGGGCTGAGGTTCCCACCCCTTCACAGTGTTGATTGCTATTAGCATGATAATGAACTCTTAATGGTATCCATTAGCTGGGACTTAAATGACTCGCTTAGAACAAAGTACCTGGCATTGAAACCTCCCAGACCCAGCCCCTTCCCTCCATTGATGCGCGGGGAGCTCCTCCCGCCAGGCGTTAATTTCTGGCGGCCGGGGAGGGTGGACTCTGCCGCGTTTCCGGAACCCCAGGTCTGGAACCCGCGCTGGTTGCGCTTTGCTGAGCTTGCAGCCAGATTTACAGATGTCACCTGAGGGACCTCTCTTTCCCCCTCGACTCTCCTACGTAAACTCTGACTCCTAACATACCCTGGAGGAGGGAGGACCGCGACCTAATGGGATTGCATGGTTTGGGTATTCTTCATGACCAGGCAAATGCCTTAAATAAACAAACAAGAAATGTCTTAATTATATACCCCAAGTAAATACGGGTTTCTTACATTAGAGGATGTATTTATATAATTATTTGTTAAATTGTAAAAATGTGTAAAATATGTATATATCCAAAGATATACAATGTGTACATTTTTTGTAAAGAGTTTAGAGGCTACCCCCTGTAAGAACAGATATAAGTATTCTATTTTGTCAATAAAATGACTTTTGATAAATGATTTAAACATTGCCCTCTCCCCCGCCTCTTCTAAGCTGTTACCTTTAAAGTGCTTGTTTAGGGACAAGTGGGAGGAAAAAATGGACATTTTTCTGATTTGTCATTCTGTACCCTGACCTTAGGCATGGAGAAACTGACCTGTTAAACTCTAGTTCTTAAGTTGTTAGCTAAGTAAATATCATTGTTGAACTGAAATCAAAACTGAGCTTTTGCACCTTCCCAAAAGATGGTGTCTCTCATGGTAGCTCTTTTCTGATCCATGGATAACAACTCTCACCTTAGTGTATGTAAATAGAACTTTTACAAGACAGCAGTCCTACGTAGGCCTTGTTATTTATCCTGTATAATATCACTAAAGGTTTCAAAACCCCACATTAATTTCTCGCGTCCATGATTTTCAAGGCACCTGGGTTTCCAGGGACTGAGCACACTGCTGAAGGGTAGAGGTGAATGTTTTAAACCACAGATCACCCCTTACAGTATAAGTCACTTGACAATCTGGTAGTAGAGCAGGGGCTCTTTAATGGATTAAACTAACGGGTTAACATCTTAATAACCTTCAGCGGTTGTGTATACCAAATGTGCTTCTTTTCCTAGAGAAAAAGCTATTGTTCCTCTGTCAAGACTAAGCTAATTTATTTGAGCAGAAGGCTGTTGAATTAGCAGAAGAATGCTTTGGCAATTGTTGAACTTTTTACCTGTCTGCCTAGTGGCTCAGCACATCATTCCTTTAAGAGGGGCTAAATGAATAGGGTTAATCTGTAGGGAACTTGGTCTTTTGAGTTTGCAAAACTTTGATCTTTTCTCCTCTCCAAATGTGCTGTATAGTCTGAAGTTTCTTTCCCTGCGGCCGGGCTTCTCTTGGTGCAGACCAATTGGCCACCGCGGAGCCTTAAAGTTCTTCCTTTAAAGGGATGTGGGACTTTTACTTTAAAAAGGAGAGAGAGCGAGGGAGAGGAAGACTTGTAACAGTTAGTGAAGACCAGAAGCCCAAGTGCGCTCAGCCTTTTAAACAGCTTTTCCTGGCATTGTTAGCCAGCCTGCAGGCAGCTAGGCATGGGTTGAAGCATTATAGAAAAGCGCTCTGAATGCCCTACAGGTGGTCTGCGCACATAATCCCCCAATTTAAAGCGTTTTCCTTTGCTGGACAATTGCATTACAAAACTCCCTTCTTTTTCGCCCCTAATTGAACCAATGAACTATTATAAACTACAAGTTTTTCTTTAAAAAATAAAATAAAATAAAAAACCCTCGGTGCCTAAATTCTATTGACTAAATTCTGGCAAGTTTTCTGAACTGAACGTTTTAAAAGCACCGGAAGTAAAAACTGCTTCAACAGACATTTCTCTTTTGGGGATATTTTTATTCCTTTATGCTTGTTATTTTCTGACAGATTAGCAATAATTTAAAAGTAATTGGTAAGGTTGTGTGTTCATCCTGAAAAGATAGCCCCAGGTCCCTTATTAAGCTGTCAATCAAGATAAGAAATGGGCAGCTACCCTGCTAATGACAGGGCATCAATCATTGTGGGCTGAGAGGGTACTCACTCTGCACATCCTGCTAAAATGTTTGTCGTGGTTACATTTCCTAATACCTTTAGTGGTTAAAAATTTTTTTTGTTTTCAATAGAAGAGACAGACACTATTTCCTTGACTGGTCCTTCTTATGTAAGAAGTCTTTAAGAGGAGTTTGGGGTAGTAACATTTTGCGAATACTTTCCAGAGTCATTCTTGGTGTTAATTGGATTTTTAAAATTAGACGTGCAATAAGAACACCTGCTTTAGCTATCATGCCAATTTTATTTTTTTAAAGTCAGAGGCATTGTAAAATCTTCATCGCCCAAGCAGTTTTATTCATTAAACAATTACTATTTTGTAACTTAGGGGTAGCAATGAGCGGCCTGCAACTAACCCATTGGGGGACTCACGTACTGCACATAAGCCAGCCATGAACTTTCCATATTCAGTTATAAAGTAGAATTTTGAGGGCAGATCCCACAGTCTTTGCCACATATGTGGGATGGGGAGAGAGTTAAAAGCCACTAGTTAGCATATTAATTTTCTAATGTAACGGTATTCTCATTACAGACACATTTTCAACTATATGACACAGTGGAGAATGTTCAACTTTGAAGCTTTTTACCTTATTAATTCTTCAATATATCCTTATAAAATGCTATACTTGATAACTTTTCCAAGATGGCTATATGCATGCTCAATCGAAGCGAGCTTATTAAACAAACAAAACAGGTTTCAGTAAAAAGACCTACACTCATCATCCCTAGAGACTGATTTTAGAGAATGGTATTAAAACACAGTGCTGGTTCTTTGCTTTTAAAGCTAAAAGTCGAGTTGCAAATTTACCAATTCCCAGATGGTAGCTACTAATGGAATCAAAAACCCAAAATTGATTTTAGGGGTGGAGGAAGGAAAGAAGGATCTCTATGTGGCCCTTTGCATTAGACGAATGAACACTACCCATTTGTGCTATACAGATGTGTCTTTAATTACTATATAAAACAAGTGTTCGCTTTTGAAAATCTTGTCAAATTATTGGGGAGGGGGATTGATATGGTTACTATGTGGCTAAAAGATCAATGTAAAGTCTAATATGATGAAAACCATCAGTAAAGCCGAAGCACATTAAAATTGCTTGTGGGAGACGTTATGTGAAACACTTTCTTCTTGCTTTATAATAAATGCAATTTGAAAGTACCATAAAACAGAAGGGGGGAAAGTTTGTAAGAAAGTTTAAGGAGCAAACCATGTCGCATTGCAGTTTCTTAACATGCACTGACCACGTTCGCAGGTGCCTGTAATACTCCAAAGTTTGGGCAAAGGAAGTCAGGTTGGCTTCCCAAAGCAATATCAGGAGCAATTGCAGCACACAGGATGCAATTTGAAGTGTAGGCGCAAACACATTCTGTTGAGGCTCAAAACAGATCGTGTGTCTGTCAGCTTGCCACATCTGGTACTATACTGCCACCTGGCAGTACCACAAGGCTCCAGAGCCGGGAGTGTGCACAGGTTTGTTCATTCAATTCATTCATTCAACGACCCTGAGCACCCAGAGTGCTGGCCCTGTCGCTTGCACAGACCCCACCCAGAGAGCCTGTGTATTTTGTACTCATAGTTTTGAATTCTTTCTCTTAAGGACCCTAATATGTCATCAGTTTCAGGCCCCACAAGACATCCCTGCCACACAGTACGATTTCTTTTCATTTATCTCAATTGAATGAAACCCTCAATATAACAGTTATCCTAAAAATGTAATTAAGCTGCGTTGACATCCAAGGGCGTATCTTTTTTAAAATTATCTTTGACTTTGAACGGGGTGCTTGCCAAAGATCCACCATGCCAAAACTTTTAATGGAAGAAAGAATGAATGAGAAAGGATACTGTGAAGAGGAATGTGGTTGGCTTGCTTAACGTGCTCCTTGACAATTTCCCACGGAGAAGTCCATCCGCTGAGTCCAGGGGACACTCCCCAGTGCTGCACACGAGTGCTGTTGGGGCGGGCAGGAAGCAGGCGGCCCCACCTTGTCTAGCCAGGTGTTCGTGGAAACACACCAAGGAATAGAAACTTCACTGGAAAACACGGTCAGCCAAAGGGAGGAAAGGGGGAAACATCTGCTTTGGAGGAAGATCACATAGCACAGCGATGTGGAAAGACCAGGCTTTCAAAGAAGGATGAGGAAAGACAGCCTCGTGGAGCCCATGTATGAAGATGTCTGGTCCCTGAGGACCAGAATGGCTGGTGGGGATGGGAGGGAAGGAAGAGACACTAGCCAAGGACCAAATAAGATCTTAGAGGTCACCTACCAGGATCACGAACTTGTAGAGTTGAGGGGTCCCAGGCGTCACGGGGAATCTTGCTGCCCCATAGACAAGTAACAGAGGCAAGACCCAGCCCCTATGGAAACGCAGCATCTCAGAAATCTCTCACCAAATCAGAAGCTGCATTTTGGCAAGATCCCCAAGTTTCACATGTACAGTAAAGTGTAGGAAGGTCTAGAGTACAGTCCCTCATTTTGCAGGTCATGAATCAAAGCCCAAGATGACTGTGCTTGCCGTAGATAGCACAGTCAGGAGCACTCCTGGGCCCACAAGCCACCAAGCCTACATGTTACTCCAGTCTCTGTAGGGCTTTTCCAGCTGTCCCGCTGTTCTGTGCAAATCCCTAAGGCCACTGAGATGCACATTCATAGCGGAAACAGCAAGTTACCAGGGCCGTGTTTACCTGATTGCAGAGTCATAACGGAGTCTCCCCGTGGCTTGTTGGTGACCTCCACAGGCTTATCAAGCCTGGGGCACAACTATTATTCACAGAGGACAAAAGCATCTACTTATATCACCTTATTTATCACTCAGGTGAAGCATACACTAATTTAAATTAGAAAACCAATTTCCAATATTTTCCTTCCTAACGAACCCTTTGCTAATTAACTAACATCCTAACAGTAGTCGTCACCTCTGCCTACGTGTTAGAAGCACTCGGGGGTGTTTTGTAAAATTATCAATGCCCACACCACACGTCAGACCAATGGAATCACAATTTCTGGGGGTGCCTTCTGAGAATTCGAAGTTTTCTGAAACTACACAGGTAATTCTCATGTATGGCCAGTGTTGAAAACCAGTGGATGTAACTGAATATGATGTTGGGATCTAAAGTGAAAAAAAAATACGTAAATGGAAATTAGCTAAGCAAAACTAGCCATCATCAACCAACTTGACTACTTTAAATACAAGTGGTTATTTTTTCCTTCTTGTCACCTCGAGCAGTAAATATTAAATGTTTGGGAGAGGACACTAGTGCCCTCCCCTGGTCCAAAGGGAGAACTTCATGCTTTGTTGTTTTTAATGAAAGATCTCACTTCACAGTTCTGGATAACCCTGCTTTTTCACCCGCAAAGAAATAACGGAGAATTGTGTACACAGGGTACGGTTCTATTAAACTAGAAATTAAACCCAACCTGTGAACCTAGGAGGAACCAATTATGTTGATATC